TTCTATAAAATATGTTTACATTTATAAGGCCATCGAAAATCAATGCGAAGAATGTATGCTACTTAAGTAGTCATTTTTCTTACTGAGTGTGTTTTCTACAGAAGTTTGAAAAGAAGTGAACTCCAAAGCTGACTTCCTGGCGAGTCCAAAATACTATAGGAATATGTCGCACAATAAGTGGTGTTACAACCCCACCTAAGTGATTTATTCTAATCGGAAACACATTTCAGAATTTCGGCCAACATTTCATGAGATCGGTCACTCACTGTATGATAAGATTGTCGACAGAAATTTATTTATTTTCTGTGTCCTCTTGCCCTCCGTCCTCACCGTTTAACATGGTCCGCAGGCTAGCTCAAGTTAGTTGTAGGTCCTGCACCCCATCGTTGCCTTCATCTCATGGGACTGCAAATATACCAGAGGACACTACAGGATATGACCGCAAACCCAGAGGCAGATTAGCCAGACGAAATGTCTGTCGGGGCTGCCTGACGCTACTGCTTCGCACCGCCACCATTGCCCCTTTACAGCCGGTGGTGCGTTGGAAGAGGTGGTTTTCTTACGCAAGAGTAAATGACCAGAGAGAAAGAGAGGAATATATATATATATATATATATATATATATATATATATATATAGAAAAAGAGAGAGAAAGAAAGAGAGAGAGTAACTTCAAGGTGCATGCATGGGGTGGATCGCGCCTGCGTCCAGAGCATGCCTCCATTTAGTCAGACCTGTGCGCATCACCGGCCTTGTGGTAAAGTTCGCACCACAGTTCAGACGGGTTCCGTTTTCGGCGCCTGGCGTCCGCTACGCAAAAGTACACACCTACTTGTGGCGTCTTTTTTCAATTGCAAATGTGAAAATATACTGGGTCGGCAAGAGGTGCCCTTACTTAACCGCGCCAACCATGACAGCAAGGCACTGACCTTTATCAATCGCAGTGCTGATGCCGACTCATCTTTAGACTTGCGATTTGCTAAAACCGGAATGACTGACTGTCGACAGAGGCAGTGAACGAACATTCGCCTAATTTCTATCTCCGTCGGCACTCCCACGGGAAATGCCTTTTGTCTTCAAAAGGCGCTTCGGACAAAGTGAGATGAATCACCACTGAAAAACCCGCCTGACTAATATCTCTTGTCCGTCTAAATCGGAGGTCTGCATGCAAGCGCAAATTTGAGAAAAAGTAGGCATCTAGACAGACAAAAGCATTTGGTGCGGACGGCACAACTGCTTCATGGCGCTCCAGCTTTAATGTCCCTTTCAGGTGGCAGAGAATTAAAGCCTACAAGTTGCCATTGGGAATGCAAGTTAGCTTGTACTCATCGGCGGAACTTCCCAGACACACAGTGAGTAAGTCTTTCGCACGCAGACTTGCGAAGCATCCACCGCACACCCCCTTCCTCACTCCCAGCCTGGACCCGGTGTCAAGACAGTGTCAACAAGACCGGAGGCGGAGGATGGCGAAGGCGGATGGCGCAGCCGGACCCACACCTAGGCGTGCCATCACACCCCCTCGTCCACAACATACATACTCATCCGCAGAACTTCCCAGAAACACAGTGAGTAAGGCTTTCGCACGCCAAATGTTCGACCGCAGACCAAGTACTGCTCCCCGATGTGATTTACTTGTATCGTTCGTGGCACCGGGGTTTTACCAGGAGTACGACAGTTCGACCGTCATGTCCGACGATGTCCACCGCGAGCTCCACAACAAAACGAAGCAGGCACGGGGACATGCACGTGATTTAGTTTGTAGGGAATGAAGACTTGCACAGCACCTACCGCACTCTCTCTTCCTCCCCACCTGGAGACGTGTCAAGACACAGTCAAGAAGACCGGAGGCGTGAGAGGGCGCAAATGGCTGACACGGCCGAACCACACTCCCTGGTCCGCAGAAAACACTCACCAGGATTTTAACCGACAGTAACCACGTCCACAACCTGTATACCCAGCGGGAGTGCAAGCGCATCTACCGGTAGGGAACCAGGTGCAAGAGAACTGCCAGAGCACACTAGACATGGTTTGCTGAATCATGGCATAGCAGACGCAAACAAACCAAGAGTGCGACAGTTCGACCGTCGGTTCCGACGATGTCCACCGTGCGCTACTCAACAAAGTGCGGCAGGCATGTTGACTTGCGCGTGAATTAGTTTATAGTGATAGCAGACTTTCGAAGCGTCTACCGCACGCTCTATTCCTCACCCCCCGCCTGAACCCGGTGTCAAGACAGAGTCAAGAAGACTGGACACGGGGGAGGGCGAAGGTGGATGGCGCGGCCGGATCCGCACCTAGGCGTGCCACTACACCCCCTGGTCCAGGACATACATTTGGCCAGGATTCTTCAACAGCAACGCCCCAACATGGGTCAGAAGGACGAGGACGACTGGGCAGCCACTCCCACCACCTGTATACCCAGCGGGAGCGCAAGTGCATCTACCGGCAGGGAACCAGGCACCAGGGAACTGCTAGCACATACCAGACTGCGCGGGCCATGGTTTACTGGTACTGGCATATCAAATGATTTCAAACCTTTTGACCAACCCAAAAGTACAATGACAGGCAGTGAGACATGCTCGCCTCTTTCGAAGTCTGTCCCCGGGGATCGCCAACCGGGACTCCTGATTTCCGCCTGACTGCAAGCTGCACTTACTGAAGCAGGATCTCTTCGAAGGAGTCGCAGTTTAAGAGCTGACGTCATTTCTCCGGTCAGGCAAATTCGACGAGGCCGAAATTCTCGCAAGAGGTGAGCAGCGAGCTGCTTGAGTCGTGGTTCACTGGCCCCCAATCCATCAACAAGGGCAATTACCTTTGCCTTCCATAGTCAGTGCTGGGACTTCGCCTAGGCGGAGTAATTAGCCACGCGGGGAGCGCACAAGTGAATACATTTTCCAACTCCAGGGTCGGTTGATCAGATGGTCGAGCAATCATCACACCAACATCTAACACACGTGATGGAATTGCTTCAATTAACGACGCGAATGCCGGCCATCAAACAGTCATCACACCAAGTGCAACGATCCCTGATGAAGGGGGAAGCCATTAATGTTCAAAGGTACGCGGTAGCATGGCGACTGCATCCTATAAATACTGCAGCCCTTTGTGCATGAACCACTCGTATCTTCTTTTGTCTCTGATCAGCAGTCCGAGCGAGAATCCGAAACGTCAGGCTAATAAAGCTCTTGTGCCAGCGATCATGCCTCCTTCTTCCCAAGAAGTGCTATTGCCAAGTATTGGTCACTTCTGGCTTATTAGCCGTCATCATCCAGTGAGGCGCCAACCACCGGTGCTGAAGTCTGATTCCTGTCTTCTGGGTTAGTGAACATTTTCGGTTCGACATTTCACACCCACTTAGGCCACCTGACTGGCTTTGGCAGGGAATATGCACGGACATCGATCTGCCCAGATTTCAGTGCGAAAATGGGTGAGCATTTTGGATTTGCTATGGAGCTTTTGATCTGGACCGCGTGCCGCGATCTACTTATCCCCGCAAGCCATTTAAGCCACGCGCGTGCACAAGAAATCAGCAAATGGTTCTCCCTAGGCGTGCTGCCAAGCCGTGAGAAAGGTGATATGGAGAGACCTATCAGTCAGTTAGTCAGTGTCAGTGTATTTGAGGGAAATAGGCTTATGCCTTTGAACTCCCTAATTGTACATAAATATCGATAAATAAGCAAAATGTGAAAAAATTACAGCAGTAAGTGTATGCAGGCATTGATTGACACATGTCACTGGTCTCATGGCTAAAAAGTCACATAGTCCGCTTGTTGCCGACATTTAAATGTCACCACAGATTGAGACATGACAATTATCTCGGGCAGGTTATTCCACGGCTCCACGACACGGTTGGAGAAGAAATATTTTCTCATATTCAATCTACCCTGGGGCACGCGTAGCTTGAAGGGATGTCTCCGGAGGTTAGTTGTTGTGGCAAGTTGGAAAAAGTCATCGCACCGAAGGGCGCAGTCCAAGCCACGCACGATACGGAAAGTTTGTATCAAGTCTCCGCGCAACTGCCTATAACTCAGAGGATAGAGATTAAGGTTAGTAAAGCGAATCTCGTATGGCAGTGCACTTTGAACTCTTCTTAATTTTGTTGCTCGCCTCTGCACCCTTTCGAGCAGATTGTAATCCTGATGCGTCCACGGTCTCCAGGCCTGAATTGCATATTCGAGATGCGGCCTTACAAACGTGCCGAAGACTTTGGAGAAGCAGCCTAGATTGTCCTTCGCCCAATGCTTGCTACCAAAGAAACCACCTTAATTCTTACGGGCTTAATATCTGCCCTTTTGAGTTAAATAGTGCCCTCCCCCACCGAGGTTGTCCACAGACAGCAGTGCATGTTATCACCACCTGTTTTATGCATATCGATGTGTCATTTGTGGGTAATTCTTCGCTGTTAAATTGCTAGGGAATTTTGGGCCGTTGGTGACTGCTGTTACTCTTCGCTGTCCTACTCGTCGCCACCGACCTTGACCGCCATTTTGATCACTATGGAGCCCTCCAGCGTTTACCTCGGTTTTTATGCATGACAGGTCCTCAAAAAAGGTATATTATTATTCGGGATTCGGTGAATTCCTGAGAAGCTCACCGCCCTTGCTGCCTAAAACCTAAGACCTTCTTCCAGCACTGAGAATGAGCCGGAAGACAAGATTGCCGAACTACAATAACTCCGACGGGTATTCAAAGCCAATGGCTACCCGCGCAACTTCGTTAATCGGTGCATACGCAAAAGGAACGAAAGGCCTAACAGCACGGACACCAAAGCTTGGCGGGCGCTTCCGTACGTCAAGAATGTTTCAGAAGCTGTCGGCCGCCTTCTCGCACCACTTGGAGTGGGAGATGCACGCAGACCGGAGGCAACCATCAGACGTCTGGTAATGAAACCGAAAGACCCACTACCACGGCTAGAAACGTCTGGAGTCGTTTATCGGATCTGCTGCAGTTGAGGACAAAGCAACTACCTCGGAGAAACCGGAAGACAGCTCCGAACGAGAATGGCCGAACACGCGGCAGCGGTGCGGAGAAATGACGCCAGCTCCAAAGTTGCGGCTCATTCGACGAGATCCGTCCACACATTCAAATTCGACGAGGCCGAAATTCTCGCAAGAGGTGACAACCGCCTGAGCCGGGAGCTGCTGGAATCATGGTTTACTGGCCCCCAGTCCATCAACAAGTGCAACGATTTTCCCACTCCATACTGCGTGCTAAAATTTCGCCTAGGCGGAGTAACAAGCCACGCGGGGAGCATGGACCTCTTCTCCGCCGCCTGCGAGAACTTCGGTCTGGTCATTAACACGCAGAAGACGGTGGTGATGCACCAACCGCCGCCCAACTCAGCCACAGCCCCCAACGCGTCGCCGCAAATCAGCGTGAATGGAACCCTACTGCAAGTGGTGGAGAACTTCCCGTACCTGGGCAGTACTCTCTCCCGCACCACCAAGATTGATGACGAAGTCGCCAACAGGATCTCGAAAGCCAGCCAAGCCTTCGGTCGTCTCCAAAGCACAGTTTGGAATCGTCACGGTTTTCAACTGAGCACAAAGCTGAAGATGTACAAGGCCGTTATCCTGCCGACACTACTGTACGGAGCAGAGACATGGACGGTGTACACGAGACAGGCACGCCGACTGAACCACTTCCACCTCAGTTGTCTTCGTCGCATCCTGCGGCTGAACTGGCAGGATCGCATCCCCGACACTGAGGTGCTGGAACGGACGGGAATGCTCAGCATCTACTCCATGTTGAGACAAATGCAGCTGCGCTGGAGCGGCCACCTGGTGCGCATGGACGACGAGCGACTACCCAAACGACTCTTCTACGGAGACGTCGCGACGGGTTCTCGTCGTCAAGGAGGCCCAATTCGTCGATACAAGGATACCCTGAAGTCCTCCCTGAAGTTACTGCAAATCAACCAGACCAACTGGGAAGAGCTCGCCTGCGATCGTCCGACATGGAGGAGAACAGTGAAGACGGGCGCTGCTATCCACGAAGCCAACCGCATCGCTGTCGCCAAAGCGAAGCGCGAAGCCCGCAAATCCCAACTGCGCCCAGTCAGCAACGCTGCCGCACAACCGCTTCCGACGTGTCCTCGATGTCAGCGGACATTCCGGGCTCGGATCGGCCTTGTTGGACATCTTCGGATCAACTGTACCTCTCGAACTGCACTAAACTCCATCCCCCCGCCCGCGTCATCCTCGTCCTCTCTGTCGCCGAATAACTCTGTGAATTCTTCTGCACCACCGCTTCCATCCTCCTCCTCTGCCTCCTCCTCCTCCTCCTCCTCCACCACCACCACCACCACCACTGCCCCAACGGCGGCCGCTCAGACAGCCGTCTCGCACATCTCCGATCGCGACACAACAACCGGCACCACCCCCGCCTCTCCTGACTCCAGCAATGAGAATCAGGACTACACCTGCCCTCACTGCGATCGCACCTTCACCTCACGTATCGTCCTGGTCGGTCACTTGCGAATCCATCGCACAGAGGCCGGCAAACCAGTGCCTGAAGCACCAACCTACACCCACCGCACTCGCCTCCACTGCCCACACTGCCCTCGCACCTTCACGCATCGCATGGGTCTATTCGGCCGCATGCGCATCCACGAGAGCGGAATCGACCACAATTCCGACACACCAACCACGCCCATCATGCCCAGCACCACCCTCGCACCGTCCATCTGCGCCACCACCAACGCCTCCTCTGTAGCTGATTCTGACACCGCCGGCTTCACGTGCCCACACTGTCCACGCACATTCACCTCACGCATCGGCCTGGTCGGTCACTTGCGAATCCATCGCACAGAGACCGGAGAACCAGTGCCTGGAGCACCAACCTACACCCACCAAGCTCGTCTCAACTGCCCACACTGTCCTCACACTTTCAGGCACCGCATGGGCCTATTCGGCCACATGCCCATCCACGACGACCTGCGGTAGACAACCGCCGGTTACACCACCCATCCACACACTCGCTACCCTCCTCCACCATCACCAACACACATCAACACTTACCCATCGCATGCACCAACTGCCACCTTCCACCCTCCACCTTCCTCCACCTTAACGGGAGGCGGTCTGAGAGTCAGGCTGCAATGGCTCCTTTTTAATGTGGCCTTTATGGCACTCCCACCACAGTGTGGGATCCGAGCCAGGCGTTGGTGGCACGCCTAGGTGCGGCTTCGGCCGTGCCAGCCTCCAAATCTCTGTTGTGTTGGTTGAAATCCTGGTTATTGTTGTGTGGAACAGGGGGTGTGGTGGAACGCCAAGGTGAGGATCCGTCCGAGCCATCCACCTGCGGCCTCCCTCGCCTCCGGTCTTCTTGACTCTGTCTTGACACCGGGCTCGGGCGAGGGAGGTGGAGAGAGTGTAGGTAGATGCAGCTCAAGTCTACTGGCACTATAAACCCCTGCGCATGTCACCGTCCCTGCTCCAACCTGCTGTGGGGCACACGGTGGACATCGTCGAAATCGATGGTCGAACTGTCAGTATGCTCTCAACTTCACCTTCCCTCAGCCATGCCGGCAGGTGTTCTTGTAGTCTTGCGAATAGGCGCCGACTCGTACGACCGATGTAGCCTGCATCACAGGAGCAAGTAAAGGAGTAAATACACACGAAGGGGGTCTGAGCTGGTAGCCTATCCTTACCTTCTTCTGCGTTTCTCGATAAAACATCGCTTGAACCATTGTCTCTTAGTCATAAGTTCTGCATACCTCGTCGAAAAGTCAATCAACTAGACTTAGAAACACAGGTTGAGAATCTCTGGAGCCAGACCTTCGATCAAAAAACCCACTTCCACAGATAATGTCCAACACTTGAAGTCAACACTCTTGAATTGCAGTTACAAGTATCTGAACAAAAACACAAAAAGTCGGGGACTGCTGACAAAAGCTCACATACAGAACTTAAAGCAGCTGAGAGAGAACAGAGATATTTTGGTAACTGGACCGGACAAAGGGACAGGCGTGGTTATAATGAATAGGTAAGATTATGCGGCGGAAATACAGTTCTTTTTGTCAGATCGGAAGAAATTCAGGAAAGCCGACAAAGAGAAGGATTCCACAGATGAGGTAGAAGCACAACTAACGGGCTGCTTGCGCAGACTCCATGCAGGAGGCTTCATCAGCGATCGCGAATTCGAAAACCTCCGCCCAGTAGGCACACACACCCCTCGATTGCATAGTCTACCGAAGATCCATAGGAACGGCATACCAGTCAGTCCCATTTCGTCGAATGCACTTTCTTTGAATGTACTCTGAAAGAAAAAAAATCGGATCATATGGGATTTTTGCATGTCTTTACTTTATTTAACGTTACAATGCCAGACTGTTAGCTGTTCACTTTTTTGAATTGTTTATTCAAGAGAGAAAATTCAATGTGATATGGAGGTTATTTATACTGTGTAATTTTCCAAATATGTCGGCCAGCTAAAAAACTGTCTTAAATCCAAAATAGAATCCGTATAGAGTCTGATTCGACTGCCTACGCAGACTTCATGTAGGAGGCTGCATAAGCGATCGCTAACTGGAAAACCTCCACCCAGTATGCACACCCATCCCGCGCTTGTATGCTCCACCAAAGATCCACAAGAACGGCCCAACAGTACGTTCGATCTCGGACATGCGAAACTCTTCCTATCATGCGATATTCTAAACAATAGAGCTGACGGCAGCATTCGAAGAAGCGTTTGTCGAAAGGACACCTGGTCTGGACAATATACGAACTTCTACAGTTTCGTACCCCTTCAACAGAAACGTAATCCGGCCCGCTGCTTGGCGCAAAGAGCTAAAAAAATCTGTTCGGCAGATAGCGTTGATGAAGAACTTAGAAGAATCCAGGACCTGCTCCGCGAGAACGGGTATCCTGACGGATTTCTTGTAAGGAATGTGGCTAGATCACAGTTGATAGACAGGAAAGGGAAGCGGACGGCGACCTTAAGCTTAATCCCAACCTTAACCCTAACCTCAACCTCAAACGGTAACCGTTAACCCTAACGGCAACCCTAACCCTAACCGAAATCGCAAACTTAACCGTAGACCTTAGACATAGCCGTAACTGAACCAACCTAACCGTATTACTGAAGCCTAATCGTACGCTCAAACCCTAACCGTAAACCAAAAACATAAGAGCAAAGGCATAAACCTAACCCTAAAATCGGAAACCATTAACCGGTACCCTAATCCTAACCTAAAACGTAAAACGGAAGCCAAATGGGTCAGATGCGATTATGGAACCCCACAAAATAGCCCAGTAAACAACCCCGCGCCACCTGTAATACGGTCCTGGCTACCAGCTGAGATCTAGCCAGGAATCTTGCCGAACGACGGGCAAAACTCATCATACCGACCACAGAAATGAAAACTCTGTTCCTCGAAAGTCCCCTTTCAAGGGGACGCCGTCAGTGAACTCCTGAGAAGTCACCTTGACCAAGCCGTTTCACGGACCATCCCGGTAACAAGAGTTCAAGTATTGTTCCCGACCAACCGCGTCCTACGCGAGAAGGTAAGGATAGGCTACCAGCTCAGACCACCTCCATGTGTATCTATTCCTTTACGTGCCCCTGTGGAGCAGGCTACATTGGTCGTACGAGTCGGCGCCTATCCGCCAGAATACGAGAACACCTGCCGGCATGACTGACGAAGAGTGAAGTTAAGAGCATACACAGCTCCATCCTTGCACACATGGTTGATTCTGGGCACCGTGTGGATCCCAACGAAGTCTTCCGTGTGGTTTACAAGGTTCCACCTAACTAACCTAAGCGACTGAGTCAGTGCCTACTAGCAACAGCAGAGGCAACTGCCATCAGGCTACAATGGCCGGTCCTGTGCGCGCAGAAAAACCTCTTGCATGCTCCGCGTCTACCGTGGGGCAGGATCGATTAACTGTATGCAGGTCTCCGCACCCCCGCCCCCTTCCCTCCCTTCCCTCTTATGACACGGCTCAACCTAACCTTCACTGTCACTGACCGCCTCCACCCCCCCGTCCTCCCCCCTCACTCTATTCACATACCCCGTTTGTATGAAAGGACGAATCATAATTGATTGAACTTATCACTCATATGTTCAGTTTGTACCCCTTTCCAATATAAATATAGAGGTCAGATGAGAGTTTATCGAAAGCACACGTAAGCTCGCCAAATACTCTTCAGTAATTTCACTAATTATTTCGGCACGACTGTGTATGCCACACCCTATTTCTTCATATCGTAAAGATTTTTCTAGATCTCCACAACGGCAGCGTGCAGTAAAAGAGTGGTCAGGTGACTTGATGGTGTCAGAGGGGTGTACAGTAAGTGACCGATCACATGAATTGTTTGCTGAAATTCTGTAATGCGTTTTCGATTAGGAAGGATTACGTAGGCGCGGTTGTAACTGATTATCTTACGGCATAATCTTATAACACTGCGGACTCGACAGGAAGTCAGCTTTTGAATACACTGCTTTTCAATCTCCTGTAGAAACCGTACTTGATAAAAAAATGACTACATAATTAGCATGCATCTTCCCATTGATTTTCGATGGTCTTGCAAATTTAAATATATTTTATACAAATCATAAACAAATTTATGCTTTCTTTCAGTCAATTAGTAGAGAATCACGTCTTCGTCATATTTTATACTCGAAGAGGGAGTATAATTAGGATTTTAAAAAGTTTTCTAATTGCCGAATAATTTGGAGCCTGATCATTCGTTGCACTAGCGCTTAGTGATTTCAGTCTACAGGGTGCATGCGTTCCGCGTAAAGAAAAACACATATTTTTCTATGCTATTAAAAAGATATCATAAAATTCTGCAATGAATGCGGATTGAGGCACAATGGCTGACAAAGTTGAGCGGCCGGTCCCTACGTGACACATGCCCCTAGTCCGCGCACGGTGCACCACGTTTTCGGAGAAACAAAACGGGGGTCGGCTCGGAGTGCAATCGGTATCGTATTAAGAAGGAACCATTGCAATCTGAACTCCCCCCCATCCTGGGGAGGCCGAGCTGAGACCTACTTCTGATTTAAACGCTTTTAATTGCACGAAACAGCCAGCGGGAAGGTAAGTTTTCTACTAGTCATCAGTAAGTCTTCACACGCTCTTGAACGCTGGAGCAGGGCAGTAATTTTGCCAGAGTTGAGCAGACAGCGGTCAGGGAGAGATGTGCGGTTCTTGTGCCCACGGAAGAGCGGTAGGAGGGGATGGAGGGGTCAGGGCCCTCGTGATTGGGGAGTGCGGGGGGGGTGGTGGAGGCTACAGTGGGCCAACGGTCATTGGTACAGGGTTGTTGGTGGTTGATCTGCCCTCTGGGCTGTTCGTGCATTTGGGGTGGCAGTTGCCCACGGTAACTGCTGGTGGTGGCCGGTAGGTAGACTCTTGTGCGTACAAGGAGCGATTTTTGTAGGTATGGCGACAGTCTGTGATGCTATGAACGGGTCTTAATGGAGGAGTTTCGATCGTTTGCAAGCAGTCCGGACTCCGAAGACATGTCTCCCGTTCTTCCACAATTGTCCCCATGGTAAAAATAATAAAAAGCCCAGTTCACCTCTTGCCTGACGAACCGATCGCTGCACAGGCGACTTCTGTCTGTGAATCAGTTTATAATAAGGTGGGGCTTGCAGAATCCTCCAAGCTCGGGAAAACCGGGGTCGGTAGCAGTGGCTAACAGTCCATACACGCGTGCCACACACGATGGTATACACCAGGCTTTCAAGCGTGCAGATAGGAGCTCACGTATGTAGGTTAGAAAACCAAAAATGCGGCACTGAGAAGGAGTCATTGCAGCCTGACTGTCAATCCTGAGGGAGATGGAGTTATAATGTCAGCTGTAAATCTTCTAAGTCACCGCTCTCGACTTGTAGTGATAGATTCAAGTACGTAAGATGTATCATAATGAAAAATGGGATGATTTGCAGGAAAGGAGAATTCCACAGTGCCCGATAATCCTCTCTCTTCCCCTC